AGGGAGGGTTGACTGTTCCCTTGATGTGTCTGAAAAGTTTATTTGCCAAAGAACCATTTTAGTGGCACACTACATCAGTGAAAAAAAAATGATTTGCATGCATATTCATCTGTAGATTACAATATACTGAAGTGGGAACACCCTGAATTTTTAGGAGCTCTGGACTGAAAGAAGACATAAGGGTTGGAACCACGCTGGGCAAATCTTCCTTGCAAGAATGGTGAGAAGTGCCAAGGCAGAAAAACAATCTTCTCTGATGGCATAGCATGGCATGAACCCACTATTAGCATCCATGGCACTTAACAGCCCAATTTCAAAAACCATCCCTCTGGGGTCCAGGGCTCAGCAACAGGATGCATATTGTGCAATGTGAAGACGCATGGACATGGCCTTGAGGGAAATATCCAAAAGCCGTTCCAGAAATGAAAAGGGCAGACGCATTAGTTCTTTGAGCCCTGGGAAAGGGGATGGTATAAGGAACAGATACAGGCTGGCTCCTTCATTTTTAAGTCCCGACTATCCAGATAACATTGGGGGGGGGAGGAGGAGGAGGAGGAGATACAGCACAATCAGACTTCCAAGATTCTGCTATTATGGTTTAAAATCAATAATTCTGCTGTTATGTATTAAAATCAATAAAAGTGATTAGACTTCCTGTGGATTTCCTGGTCAGGTCTATCTGGTGGGGCTGACAGTGGGGTAGAAGGAGGACGGGAGGAAGCCATAATCAGACACGCAAGATTCTGGCAATGCCAACCCTCTCTATGAAGCTTCGTTCTAGTCTTCTTGTGAAGTCACTTTCCTGCTCTGGACACCTTCGAAGGACTGACACGCACCTCCTCTGAAACGCTGTGCCAGGTTTCAGCAAGGGAATTTTTGCGGTTCTCCCCCAGGCCACCCGCCCAGAAAGCCCCCACCCACCTGGACTCACCTTGACGCGCCTGCCTCCAACCTTCCACAGCTGAGCAGCGTTGTTGTACGTGGCGGCTAAGAGGAGACGACCCTGGTGAGGAGAAGGTGTGGACAGAAGCAGCCAAGTCAGGGATATAAGAGAACCGCCCCCAGCTATGGGGTGGGAAACCGTGGAAGCTCCCCGTGGCCAATGTTCATCTTCCTTTTTCTGTCCAGTTCAAGCTATTCCTCCAAAGGGCCTGGCCCTCTGAGAGCCAAAATCGTAGCGATCTCAGAGCTCCAAAGGTGCACCATGTTCCTCAAAGTTGCCAGATCTAGCAGGTCAGCACCATCGAACGATGCAGCCCTTCCTGCATCCCACATCAGCACCCACCTAACCTCACGCAGGAAGTGTTTTACCCAGGAAATGCCCATTGCAAGATGACGTGGAGAAACTGGGAGCTGTGAGGTAGACCTCTCCCGATAACATTTTGCTCTACAACCCCCTTGCAGACCACCCAACTCTGTTCTATTAAAAGCAGCTCTCTTCCCAAACCCTTCTTCTGAAGTCAAGGGGGAGAAGAGAAGGATGGACACAGCTTGGTAAAAATCTGGTCTGATTTATTCTGGCTGGTTTTTTCAATCAACCATTTGCATCAGGGCCAAATTAAGGCCAACAGATCTGCTAAGCCCAGCCCAACTTAGCGGGCAAGACATTCGGACTCAGCAAGCCCTGAAGGTGAAATAAGAGATTAAAGATTCAGGTTTCTTCCAGGCCACACCCAGGCTAAACCCAACAACTATTTTAATATAAACTTTTAAAAAAACCATTTAGTTAACACTAAATAGCAATAAGCAATACAAGCAAATTATTTACTAGGGCAGAAAAAATGCAGATTTTCAACGTTGTTCAATGCCTTTTTAAAATGAAATTGTTAAAAAATATAAATACAAAAAATTATTGAAAGCTATTTTTAATTACCCTCCCAAAGATTATAAGGCAAAATACGCTCAGGGCCTGATAGCAAGGGGAAAAAACTCTGTGGTGCCCCCCTCCCTTTGGTGTCTGAAGCAGCCACTTATTTTGCTTAATGGCTAATCCAGGGCTGATTTACATTCACAATGTCTCCCTCCTGATGTTGGGAGCCCCTGTATATCCCTTCCCTAAATTGTTTTGTTTTATGTTATGTTATGTTATGTTGTGTTATGTTATTGATTAAACCTATTTCTGCACTGCTGCAATCAAAGTGACTCTCAGGCGTTTGCACAGATGGAAGAAGATGAACCTGGTTTTAAAAGTGGAGGAAGAGACATCAGTGACCTGCGCCGTGCTGATGACACGACCCTGAGATCCAAAAACAAAAGGATCTGCAAGCTCTAGTAATGAATGCAAGTTACAGAGCAAAGTGAAAAAATGGGGCTAAATCAATAATCAAACAGCCAGCCTTGGAACTGACAACGAAGATACGGAAAAACCCTTCCGTATTTGCAAAACGTTGGTGGAATCTATGCACTTTGGTTGAAGATTTTGTACGCAATTTTGCCTGCCCTCTGCTGTACGAAGGTGGGAAGCCTCTTTTGAACAGTCTCCCGTTCAGGACCCACGGATCCCACTTGGGGCATCAAAGTCCCCTTTGGGCTATTTTAACTCCCTGTAAGAGTTCGTTTATTATTATATTTCGATTTACTACTTTTACCCCCTGCTGCAATCCCACAGAACATTTAGAAGTTTAAACTACTCCAAGAAGTAGTTTAAAAGAATGTATAAACTACTAAAACGTCCACGGTCAGGTTAAAATAATAAGCATCTTAAAAGTACACAAAAACCAAAGCCCTCCCCCCCCCAAAATCAGACCCCCAGTTCGTTTTCAACCTGATATCAGATCTGCCTGTTACCAAAATAAGGGATAGGTGGAGGCTGAGCTTCCCAGCCCAAATACAGAGAGTCGTCCAGCTTGTTATATAGTTTGAACGGGGGGGGGGGAAGGTACAAAAAAGAGTATTTTGGAAGGGGTGACTGTAATAAAATCAAATAAATAAATTGCACATTGATGCAACTATCAATAGAACTTGCATTTGACCCCACAGCGTTTGCTGAAATTGTTTTTAATGGCTTGTTAGCTCTTCTACAGTAAATTTTACTGATCAGAAATCCTTGGATTCCTGGGTTTCTGATTCATGGGGTCTGCCAGAGAGAAGCCTGTCCCTGCCCTCCCCAATCTATTTGCAGGCTATAACTATTGTGCCAGTAGAAGAGAACAAAGAGCAAACCCCACTCCCTTCTAGCACTGATGACGTTACCTGTCCGGGTAATGAAACGTCTGCAAGAAAACAACCCGGCTCAGAGAACCCCATGGACTCCCCAGCATACCTGTTGTAAAATAAATGCACCCCCCAACCTACCCCTTCCTGAACACCCTCAGCTCCCTTCTGTTAACATCCCCTGCAAAGACCAGCCCGGCTCCCTACAGGTGGGCTTTGCACTCACCGAGGGGTTAAACTCAAGGCCGGTGATGCTGCCGGTTGAGGCTTCCAGGGTCTGCGTCGGCCGTAGGCAGCCTGGGGAGGAAGATGAGCTCGTGAGCAATGCAAAAGCTGGGGTGCCCACAGGGGGTGCCAAAATCCGCAAGAAGGTAGGCGCAGCATCTCCATAAAAAGCCCCACTCCTTTGGGCCTTGATGCAAGCATGCACGTATAAAAGGGGCAACGATTCAAGTGCAATGCCAAGCCAGCGGTCTTGCAGATTTTGATCCCGCCGCCCCGGGAAAACCTGGCTGCAGCCCTGACGGATCCTGAAGCGCAGGGAGGACCAATCAACGTCTAAAAGAGAGATGCGGGGAAGCCATGGTGCGGAATTAGATCCAGCGTTAAAAGAAAACCTTCAGTGAAACATAAATAATGAAAAATAGGTCCTTCCCACTGCTTGCCCCACTTTACTTGTGTGCAAGAGTCAGGAAGCAGGAGAGTTGTTCTCAGCCTGACTTGCCTGCGCTCACCAATTCACGTTATTTCAATTTATGAGCCACGAGACAGCCTAGAAGAGGATTTGCTAACCCGTTGCCTTCCAGATGAACTACAGTTCCCTGAACACTCTCACCATGCTGCTTAAGGATGATGGAAACTGTAGTCCAGTGCCTCTGGGGGGCACCAGGGAGCGGTTTGATCTAGCAACATGCAATGAGAGAGAGGGGCTTTATTTCAATACACGCCCAGCAATGTACTTCCAGCTAAACACGTCTGACTCTGACACCCTTCTAGCTAAACCGGTGTATTTTATGGAGCCCGTGGGGTTCTCTGAGCCTGGTTGTTTTCTTGCAGACGTTTCGTTACTCGGCTAGGTAACATCTTCAGTGCTAGTACTGAAGGAAACCAACCAGCTCAGAGAACACCGAGGACTCCACAGTCCAACCCTGAGCTACACATATTCGCTTCTATTGGTGTATTGTATACATTTATATCTTCTCCTTCAGTATTAAAAAAAAGATGTCTAGGTCAACTAACAAACTAGAAACTGATGAGAAAGACACAGAAACACGCCCAGGGTGGTGCCTGGACTGTCTGAGATGACTTTCCCAATGTATTTATGACCCACTGTTTTTAAAAGAGAGTTTTGCAAAAGCGACATAACTTTCTGTGGACTAGCAGATGTTCTCTTTGTTTAAAAAGAAGATTTTATATAGATTTCTAGACCAATTTGTGCATAGTTTGAAACTGGGGCAGAAAAAAAAATAACTTTAAGCCTCCTGGAATCTGGTGGCAGAAAAATAAAATTAAGAACAGGAAAATACAGATCGTGATGGGATGAGGAGTTTTCATCACCTGCATCTGCTTAGATCTGTGCACTGTGATTTCCTGGATGTTTGTAAGTGTCATGCCAGTTATTATTATATTAATGTTCACTGCATACCCTGCCTTTCTGTTTGTATAAACACGCAAGAAAGCTTACAGTAATTTAAAAATGCAATGTATAAAACAGAAGAGTAAAATCAAGATCATTACAATCAAGATCAAACATTAAACGTGGCACGAGAAAGCTTTTTCGAAATGGAAAGTGAACAGGTTTAGGGATCCGAATGTGTACCCGCACTTCTGCATCTGCCAAATCACAATTTTTGGCAAAGCTCAAGGAAAAGACTGACCTTGAAGAACACCCAAAATTGCCAGTCAGTAGCACCACACCCTGGGAAGGAACTCTCAACGTTTTGGCTTGTTCAAGACCAGTTTCTCGCTCAGCGACGCCTTTGGCCACCACTTACCTCCAGCCACATTCCAGAGCTTAATCAGCCCGTCCGACCCACCCGTAGCCAGCATGCTTGAATCTGGACTGAAGGTGATGGCATCGATCTCAGAGATGTGGGCTTTCTGGAGAAGGGAGCAGATAAGGAATGGGTTCAGGATTAGATGGTAGACCTGACTCTGTGCCTTCGTTCATCCGTTCATTCGTTCGTTCGTTCGTTCGTTCATTCGTTCATTCATTCATTCATCACATTATGTAGCCACCTATCTCACAAAGCGACTCTGGGCAGTGCCTTTGATGTGGAATTATTGACTACTGAGCATCTTCATGAGTAGGTGGGTAAGAATGGATATAGGTTACAGTGTGGAGACGTGCAAAGGTAGGCACGTAAGAGTGTTTCTTCTTCTAGTTGCCCAAGCGATGGGTTCTGCATTGCTCTGTCATCTTCTCCTCTTAGCAAGCAGTGCTGCTTTTCAGTTCTAGACCAGAAATAAAATATCTAACATTCACATTTTAACTGGAGATGAAGGAAGTGACCTAGCAAGTGCAACCAAAACCTGGCAGATGAACAGGGAGGAGTGGATCTACCCAGGCTTTGCCCACCTGGGTGTGTGGCACCAACAAAGACCATTGTAGTTTCCCCCAACTTCCCATATTGGGAATCATGGCTCCAAACTATCTGGATGAGGGAATAGGGGGAGGCAGGGGGTGTTGTTATGAAATCCCTTCCACTGAGTTTCCAATTCCAGATATAAAATGGGGTAATGAGAAACTAGCCTCGGGATCCTTGCCAGAATTGTTATCCTGAGGGTACAGGGTTTCTATATGGACATAGAGGTCACCTCAGCTGGGCTAAACTGGACCTTCATGATTGCCATGATGCCCATGAGGATGACTCAACAAAGATCTCAAGATGTTCCGCAAGATATGCTTTTGACCTGGAACTTTCGGAGAAGGGGATTGGTGAACTGGAACCGATACCAACCAGGGAGGGTTGGCACTGAAATTGTTTGTGATGTTCTGTTGTGATAGACTAAAACTCCATATCCTCAATGTGCAACAGATTGGAAGCCTTAGTCATGGTCTCTCAATCCTGCTTCACCCCCATGGGGTCATCCAAATGCCATAATTACAACTCCCAGAGGCCCCAGCCAGCATTCTAGAAGTTGCATCATAATACATCCGGAAAAGGTCTAAACTTGGATTTTCTGCATTTATCAGGGAGCTGGATGTGATGATCTATAAGGCTTCTTCCAATTATTACTAGTAAACTCAATCATCCTCATTTATGGTTTGTGGAATGACTGTGCTAGTCTATTGTACACCGTAGTTCCTAGTTTACAAACGAAAAGATGGGGTTGACACCTTGCATTAGGCCAACCCAGGAAATGGCAAGGGCTGTTTTCACACCGTAGGTTTAGCCTATATCCTGCATTCACCCATTTGTGGGGTTCACACAATACCCTGAACCAGAAATGAGCCAAACCGGTTGTTTTTCGATAATGTGTTGAGTCACAGAGAAACTCACTGAGGTTAACTCTAACCAACCTTACAATGCTAGACTGGCAAGGTTAAGGCGGTTGTCTGAACAAAGCCATGATGTCACAGCACGACAGGTGAACCCAGCCAGCAATCTAAAGTGATACCCTGCCCCAGCGTTTAGGTAGCATAATCACAGAGATAATAGAGTAAGTTGTGGGGTTTTTTTCTCCCCACATACTGTAGTTAGCTTTGCAGCAGAGGCACAGTGGTCCAGCACACCATGCCTCAGTGGCCACATGAGCACAGGGGGAAAACGTGGATGACAGACTCAGACAGCAACGAAATGCGGGGAATTTCTATGAACTCCGAATGGGGATTTTGCAAATGATTCGAGCCCACCTGTGGAGGTCTGGAATATTCTGCCATGAGCTTTGCAAGAGCAGGATATCCAAAATTTAAAAAGGACAGCAAGAAGGTTAACCGACAGCCAACGGACAGATCTGGAACAACAACTTACTCGTTCGTCGGCCACACAGGAGGGGACGCAGCAGTCTTGATCCTCTGACTCGCTGCTGGCCGAGTTCTCACGTTTTTGCCTGAAATTTGCAAGAGGGGAGAATGATTTGGGGCACGGCCTCTGGAAATCTTAGGTAAAAGGGACACGGGGTGCAAACAGGATCTGGGTCTGCATCTGCTTCCTGGGCGCTGCAACCCCACAGCTTCCTGATTCGCTGCAGTTATGAATTGGCCAGGACCTGTAAACCGCGACTCTGGGTGGTTTACAGAGAAGATAAAATCAATTAAAATGTAATATATAAACTTAAAGAATAGGATCCCAGTCCATCCAAACTGAAAATCAAGTTGAAGCCCTGATTCCCAGTTCAGGTTAGGAGAGAACCATGGCTTGTAATGATTGCCGCGTCCTAAGTCAGAGGTCCTACGGGCAAACGGTAATGCTGTGCGTTAGGAAATATGTGTAGGAACCAGTTCTCCTACACCCCCAAGCCAGCAATCCGAAACCAGGTTAAACGGCTGCCCGTTCAAAAGTCAAGTCAACACTGTTCCTCCTGCCCCAAAGAGCCTGGATGCTTCCCTGCTATATTGTGCTGGTAGGAGGAAAGAAGTAAGAACTGGAACGCTCTTTTTGCTGTGTGTTTATTTATTTTTGAATATATCAGATTTGTCATCGCCCCTCTCGTTAAAAAGTGACTCTCGGTGGTTTACAGCAAAGATAAAATTCATTAAAGTACAGTATAAAACAATCCTAATAATAAATAAATAGCTTCCAAGAAAGA